ACACAACCCCTCCAGCCACATTGCAAACACCACCAAAAGCCACTGACCTGTTGGACTCCGGCTCATGATGATGGGGGTGGCAGCTGCCCCCAGGCTGGGGTTCTCGCTGCTCGCAGAGGGGCTGTAGACAAACACCTCCTGCTTGAAAGGTGAGGTTGTGGATGGCTGGCTGCTCTGGGGAGAGAGAGACTGGGTGAGAGAGGTCGGTGCACCCTCAGAAGCCCCACAGGGTCCCGTGCCCAGAGAGGCCTGAGATAGGACCCCCACAAGCCCAGAGCCTCCTACCCCAATGGACCTGCTCTTTCCTTTCTGCTGTCTCAGTCCCGGGACACCCTCCACAGGTTGGAATGGGCACACTTACCCCACTGTCACACTCCTCCATGGCTTCGCCCTCTCCTGCAGTACTGCTGAAGCTGCTGGTGCTGGAGGAGGAGCGGGAGATGTTGGCCCGGCCGTTCTCCTTCAACTTTATGAAGGGCCTGCAGGGAACAGGAAGTGAGGCGAGCCCCAGTCACCAAGGACACCGAGATCCCGTTCAGCCCTCAGGCCCTTCCCAGATGGAGAATGGAACAGACTCAGCTGAGACCTGAACTTGCCCACAATAATTCCTGTGCCCTCCTCCTCCCCTGCCAATCTTTGTGTTCCAGAAAGTTCCAGAGGAAACAGACTCTCAGCTTGCCTAGAGGCAGAAGCCCATGTTCCGGGACTCCAAATGAGGAAAGCCAGCCTTTCCTTCACCCTCACTTTCTTACTTCTCTTTATTGGGGCATATTTCCGGAGAGCTGGGATTGGATGAGGTCTCAGACTTTATCTCCTGAGAAGAGTGTCCGCCATCTGGGGTCTTGGGGGTGCTGGATGCACTGTCACTGAGGGAATGAGAATGAAGAGAGTGATACCATGGAGCCAGCTCCCAACATGCCAGTCCACCCCCAAGTCCGAGACAGAGTTCTGACTGTGGGGTTCAGCAGACTCCTACCTTTAAAGCATGGCTACCAGGACTTCCTTTCTCACCTGAGCCCCTGAGACTACAACAGCCAACAGGGTTTTGTGTTCCCTTACAGAAAAGCCCACTCTAGGTTCATGGGCAAGAGTCCAGGCCCATCAAACAGGAACCCTGGCTCCAGCCCAAGTCTACCCCTCACCCAAGCTGGTTGTCCCACCAGGCAAAGCTATGAGTTGAGAAAGGGCCCCAAAGGAAACAGAGTAGAGTCTATACAGGAAATAATCCAATATGCATGGATTCCTGGAAGGTTCCAGGGGAACCATCTGATGTGTGACTCTGGGGGATACCCTGTATACACATTATAATATGAGGCCCCTGGATCTATGTGAGATAGTAGGTCTGGGTATTAGAGAGCAAAGGGCTACTCTTGGCCCAAGGGTCCAGAAGTTCCCTTACCTTAAAGTTTAGTAGAGACCATTTACCCTGTGCCAGCTGTTAAGTACACAATACACAATAGCTTTGTTCTCAATGAACCTTTTTTTTTTTTAAGGGGAAGGAGGAAAGGGGACTGGAGATTGAACCCAGGGGGACTTTACCACTGAGCTACATCCTCAGCACTTTTTATTTTTTTATTTTGAAAAAGGGTCTCATTAAGTTGCTGATGGCCATGCTAAGTTGCTACGGCTGACCTCGAACTTGCAATTCTCCTGCCTCAGCCTCCTAATCACTGGGCATATAGGCATGCACCATCATGACCAGCAATGCACTTTTTTTTTTAATAACAGTATCATTGAGGGCTGGGGTTGTGGCTCAGTGGCAGAGCGCCCACCTCGCACATGTGAGGCACTGGGTTCGATCCTCAGCACCACATAAAAAAATAAAAACAAAATAAAGATATTGTGTCCATCTATAACTTAAAAAATATATTTAAAAAATACTATCATTGAGACACACATACCATACAACTCATTTAAAGTAGACAATTAAATGGTTTTTAGTATATTCACAGAATTGTGTAATCATTACCAACGATTAAGAGGTCTAATTCTTAGACCTCCCAAAAGAAACCTTGGCTCCATTTGCAGTCACTGTCTATCCCTCTTGCCCCCACTCTCCTCCAACCACTAACTTACTTTCTGTCTATGGATTTGCTAATCTGGACATTTCATATAAATAAAATCATATAATGCGGTATGGTCTTTATGTCTAGCTTCTTTCACTAGCATAATGTTTTCAAAAGTTCACTATGTGATAGCCTGCATCAGAATTTTAGTCGTTTTCATTGGAAAATAATATCCCCATTTTATTTATCTAGTTATCAAGTGATGGACATTTGGATTGTTTCCACTTTGGGCTATTTCGAATAAGGCTGCAATGAACATTTGTGTACTGAGTGGTACTGGTGTATTCGTTTTTTTATGGGCAATTGTTTTCAATTCTCTTGAGTAGATACCTAAGGGTGGCATTACTGGGTAACTCTAGTTTAGCCTTCTGAGGAACTGCAGGCTGTTTCCCTAAGCTATCACACTGTTTCATATTCCAACAGCAATGAATAAGGGCTTGATTTCTTCACTTCTTAACACTTATTATTATCTGCCTTTTTTATTTTTATTTTTTTAGTTGTAAATGGACACAATAACTGTATTTTATTTATTTATTTTTATGTGGTGTTGAGGATCGAACCCAGTGCCTCACACATCCTAGGTGAGCCCTCTACCACCAAGCTACAACCCAGGCCCTATTATCTGTCTTTTTGATCACAGCTATGCGAGTGGTGGTAAGTGCCTCAATGTACTTCTGATGGCCTCGCTGCCCCACTCAGGGGTTCAGACCACTGTGCTAGACTTGCCTGCACATCCAACACTAATGAAATCTCCCCCCTCCTGGCTTCACTGATCCCAACCTCCACAGCCTCTCCTCTTCTCTCTTTTCCTCCTGTCATGTTCACTAGCTCTCTGTCCTCCATGTGCCCTTGAACACTGGTGCTCCACATACCCTCCTGGGACACTCATATTGACTCATTAACATGTCTTTAACCAGCCTCTCTATTCCAGTGTCACCCAAATCCTTCCTCTCCAGTCAGGTCTTCTCTCCAAAACTCAAGAATTGGACATCTCTCCTGAGTGGCCCATGACACTCACACGTGCAGGTTCCAAACAGAACCTTTTGTCCTCCTCCATAAACCTGTCCCTTGTCCAGCATGACCTAGCCTGGGGGATGGTACCAAAACCCGAGGCTACAGGCCAACAACCAGAAATCTGGAAATGAATCTAAATGTCTTCCTCCCAGTACTGTGTGCTGCAGAGGGCAGGCCTGGGTGTCCAACTGCACCTGTCTCAGCACTCAGCACCAGGCCCAGCATACGGCAGGCACTCAATAAATGCTGCTTGCTGAATTAAAGAACAAATGGGTTCATCATTAAAGGATCAGAAAGATGATTAATAAGAACAGGTTAAATATGCTGCAATATGAGAGCTACTTTTAAAAAATAGAACATTCTAGAAGTCCAAAAGAAGGTTCAATGAACTCTGCCTGGCACAATCAGGGAAAGTTTCCGTTGGAGGGGACATTTGGAGCAGGGGGTGCCCTCAGTGGTAGAGTGCTTGTCTAGCATGTACAAGGCCCTGAGTTCAATCCCCAGTGACGTAAAAAGGTGCAGGGGTGGGGGTGTACATTGGACCGAGCATTGTAAGACGAGAACCCAGGAAATGTTTCTAGCCTGGATCAAAATGCTACAAAAACAACTTTGGAGATCCATGGAGAGAATGGCCAAATGACTCAGTAGATAGAAAGCTGAGTGAGTGAATGACCAGGCAGGAGCCTGAGCAGAGCCAGGGTTAAAGAGAAGCCACCTCCCCAATCTGAGCTAAGCTCTTCCCAAGGTTGGGTATGGGACAGCTATCAAGGTGGAGAAGGCTGACAGATCCCACAGCTGGGCTGGAGCTGGGGGCCCCTGACAGTTACCATCGTGTCCGGCCATCCCCCTGGCCTTCAGAGCCCGTGTGCAGACGGGGAAAGAGCCCTGACCGCCGCTTGATGGGGCTCCTTGACTGGTTCTTCACTGTCGCAGCTGCTGCCGGAGGCTGCGGAGAAAACTGCCAGAGTGAGTGCACCCACCCCAGACTCGAGTCTCCTTCCCTTCCCTCTCTCAGGTCTACAAATTTTGCCTGGTCTGGAGGGGACCCCGGAAGATAGTGATGCAGCTAGGAAAGATGGGATCTCTATAAACAAGAGCTGAGACCCCACGGCTCAGGCCACTCAGTCTTTTTCTGTGTTCTTAAGACAAGTCACTGGCCCTAGGCAATGGCCCAAGGAAGACCAGAATTCCTGGTGGGGTCACGGCCACCATAGCAAAGCTCCACATATTGAAAAAGTCAGGATGACTCATGGGATCACAGACTGAAAACCTCAAAGCTCAAGAACCCTGGTTCAACCCTTGATTTCACCAGGGAGGAAGCCAAGGACCAGAAGGTGAAGCAATTTCATTGAGGTCAGCCAGCACATCACTAGAAGGAGGAGGACAAGAACCCAAGGGCTCCTGACTCTCCATCCACTGCTCAGGAGTACACGGAGCCTGGGAGGAGTCACAATAACCAGATGGAAGGGGAGCTGCGGAGCCAGCAGAGGTTTCTGATTCAGGATAGTCGCTGAGCCTCACAGGGTGAAAATGAAATGGCAGGACCTTGAGGAAGGAGAGATGGGAACCTGGAGCCAACCTTTAGAGCTTCTGAGCCAGGCCCCAACTTCTGCCAATCATGTGTGTGCAACCCTGGGCAAATTGCAAAACTCTCTGAGCCTCAGTCTCAACCACAGAATGCTCACTTCATAGGCCTTCACAAAGGAACATGACAATAGGTAGATTAAACTAATTGTGCAAAGCCATTTATAATTAGAATCATGAATATTATGGTAAGTTGGTTCTACTATCAGAAAAAGAACAAGAAAAGAAAATCCTAGAACATACAATTCCAAAACCATTTTGCCTTACACAAATGGACTGGCAGTATGGTTCCCTCGCCTGCCCAGTCCTGGTATAAGTCAACTGGGCCTGAGCTCACAGACCAAAGCCAAAGGGCCCTCTCTCCTTTGTCCCTGTATATATAGTGATGAAAAAGATAAACTTTGAATCAGGAAGAATTGTATTCAAATCTCAGCTCCTCAGCTTAGCTGGGTGACTTGCAGCAATTGCTTAACCTCTCTGAGCCTCCGTTTCCTCAAATGTGGAACAGAGATGGCTTCAGGACCTGCCTCAGGCAGCTGTAACAGGAATCAGGAAAGACCTTGTCTATGGATTACTTAGCCTGGTGTCTAGCACACAGCAAGCTGGGTTGGCAACTGCTATCATTAACAATAACGAAGCAAGGACACCACTCTCCAAGTCATGGGCCCCAAGACCCTGGGCAGGGAAACACACTCTAGGACCATTATGTAGGGTTAGCCCAAAGGAGGAGATCCAGCTGTCAAAGACACTCAGAGAACAAGACAAGGGGACTTCTAGTCCAGGTCAACTCCAGGTACCACCTGGGACTGAGGCTCCAAGCAACCATTATCAGAGGGCAGAGACTGAGTCACCCCCAAGTAAACTCAGTTTCCTTCCATCATCCAGCTTGCCCTGCTCAAGTTGTCTAGCCCAAGCCTGGGCGGGGGCACCCTTCCTGCATAGGTTTAGTGAGGAGCCTCCCCGGTCCACATGCTGGCCTAGGGCCAGCCACACTTACCGAGAAGGTAGTCTTGGTGACCTCCATGCTGTTGTGGACAATGCCCCCACTGAGACTTCCAGGAATGCCTCCACTGTGCAGCTTCCTCTGGCTGCCCACCATGGTCTCCATGGAGTGGCTGCGTACACGGATGGCCCTCTGCAAGGAGAAGGATGACAGAGGTTTGCAGGTCAGCACCTGGCCCTTCTGTCCTTGGCATGGACGCATGTGTGCCCACAGCCACAGAGGCCCATGCCACAGTCACCAGAGGTGACACAGTGCTTTCCCACATTCTGTCCCATGCTCTGGCAAAGCACCAGACAGCAGGCCATGGGAGTCAGTGCCCCAGCTCCCTGCAAGGTGGGCCACAGTTGTTATCCTCATCTTCTAGGTAAAGGAAATGAGGCTCAGGGCTCGGGAAACCTGTGTGACACCAGACCAGTTACCAACCTCTCTAAACGACGTACAGCTTCCTCACTTGGAAAACTGGAATTACACACAGGATCAAGGCGGGGATTAAATACATTAAATCAGATGCTGGCTACAGGTTGATTCTTTGTTCAGAAAACTAACCTTCCATTCACATATCTACACTGAACTTTCTGCTGTCATCCCCAAGGGTGCTTTGTGCAACTGGGACTCCACCCATCCTTGGTAGAACTGTGAGGAAGTCCTGCTCAGTCTGCTCAAACCTCACGTTGAGCCCTCCTCATGCCTGCGGGGCTGAAGGCATACCTGCTTTCCAAGCCCATGGTTGATGGCTGTTGGAAGAGGAGATGTGTGCTTACACCCAGCACATGCTGAAGGGCAAGGGGCAACTCAGGTCACTGGAGCCTTGTGCCCACCTAGAGCCACCAAAGAGCCAGGGACACACTAGAAAACAGTGCAGTACTCAGGAAAGGATAAGCGGGATGGTCAGGTTTGTCAGAGTGTGTGTGAGGATGAGAACAGCTAAATCAGCAAGACCACAGGGGGATGGACCTGGGGTGACAGACACCCCTCAGGCTGCCCCATGGGGCAGCGTTGCTCTATATGAGACCAGAGAGGAGAAATGATGGAGAAATGATGGGTCATTTCCCAACAAGTGAAGTCCTGGTGGATTCTGGCTACCCCGTAGATGATGTTCTCATTAGTCCAGAAGCCTTCAAAGATGATATGAGAATTCTAGGAAGAGGAGGTTCTCTCCAGTGACTCCAAAGCTCTGAGTCACCTCCCTTTGATCACTCACCCAGTCGCTGAATAATACAGCCAGTCGGCAATGCAACTTAGCATGAAAAAAAGCATAAAAGCCTCAGGGTTGCACCACCAGGATTTCTACTTGGACTCTACACTCATGAACTGGGTACCCTACTCGAGTAACTTGGCTTGTATGTAAGGCTTATCGGTGAAAAGGGATGGAGGCTACCTACCCCATGGAGTTACTGGGAGAAAACACATAAGGCTCCTAGAACAGCTTGGGGCATCACAATTACCTCCTAAGTGTGGCTATTCTAATTGTTAAGAAGAAAAATTTGTCCCATGCTTCCTGTGTGCCCGGTACCATTCCAGGAACTAAGAGAACTGTAGTCCAGAGGCTAAAGGAGTGTAAGACATGGGCCCTGCCACCAAGAAGTACCTAAGACATATTCCTAAAATTGGGGCAGTGTTACAAGACTCAGCTATTTATGGGGTACTACAATTAGCTGCCCAGGGACGCCAAGGACAAGGGCTTCTGTGTGTGGATATTATTAATGACTCAAGCACAGTCCCCCAGTTCCCCTTGCTGACAAAACCACAGCCTGGCCCGATATCTCCTCCTCCTCTGTGGGGCACAGGACTAAGTCATGATCCGTCTGAAGCAGTCGCTTAACCCCTTTACCCATCCCCTTGTCAGTGGAGCATGAGGGACCTTTGCTGGGGACATTGGAGAAAGGCTTCCTCAGTGATTCCCAAATGAGATGTGACATGTCTGCACCTGAGACATGTGGCAGCCACCTTGGGGCCAAGCCTGAGGGACAAAGCTGATGAACCAGACATGCAGAAGTGAAAGAGAGGAAGAACCTGGACACCTCTGACCAACTGAGGCCCGAGTCACCTGAGTCTTCTTGGTACGTGTGTAAATGGACTTAGCATGTGAGCCTTCCTACTTAGGTAGGGAGTTCCCAACTCCAGCTCCAGAAAACCAATGCAAAAGGGTGAAGCTCCCTTCCTCTAGGGGTTCTGACCTGTGTATGCACCTCAAGTGCCAACTTAGAGGTCTTAAGTAAAAGAACAAACCCCTTCCCTCCTCTGAAGTACCCAGAGAAGGGCTCAGTCTATGGCAAGAAGAATGCCCCCAACCCAAATAGCAGGTCTCCTGGGAACCTCTCAGTCCAGGAATTCTCCAAGCTTGGCAAATGCAAAGAACCCCAGCCTGCCTGCCTTTCTATCCTGACAAGGGAAGCAGACCCAGGAAAGCTGGTGGTAAAGATGACAGCCCCCCAGATGAGCTACTGAGAACAAGGCACGGAACCCACAGTCTCATACTCCTGATGTCATATGGCTTCTCAAGTCTGAGTCAAAGATGCCCCTTAAGAGACATCATTAAGGGGCATCTCTCCCTCTCTAGACTACAGAACAGAGTCGCCTAGCAACAGTGTCTCTGAGACACGGCTGACACAGTCAGCGTGTTCTATTCACTCCATCACCCAAGCATTGTAAAGTCCCGTACCCCTGGGGAAACTGAGGGCAGGAAAGGTGAGGCATATCCAGGAATGAACAGTGGGTTTCCTTCAATGAGGTGGACTGCTCCATAAATCTCAGCATCTTTATGTTCCTTGTGCCCTCTTGTGTTGTTACCACCACCACCACTACCAGCATTATTAAAGTCACTTCAAACTGATATATTCCTCACTGTCTCTTTCCCAGAAAGGATTTGATGTGGGGAGTAAGCCCTGTGTGATGGGATCCGGTCTAACCAGCTTCACATATGTGATCTTATTGAACTCTTACAGTGCTAAGGTGCAGGGAGGGCAGACATTGGCTAGAAAAGGTTTAGAAAAGTGAATGTGCCCAAGGCCACAGAGTGGGTAAGAGATGGAGCCAGGAGCCAAGGCTTCCAGATTGAAAAATAATTCAGCTGGCTGATGAACTAAGGATGACTAGGAATCAGGAGGTTTCAGGGTGCCACCTCCCCACCACTGAAAAAACAAACCTCAGAAGCTGCTGTCAGGAGGATACTGTCTCCTCAAGTGTCCCTGATGCTGCTGTCAGTCAGAGAGGTAAGTCTGCAGAAAGGATTGGATGACGGTGGTCTGCTGCTTGCAGCCATGGGAAGGGGCGAGGACCTGATCCTCCCTAGGACCTGATCCTCCCTTTGCTCTGCATGTGTACCTCCTTGAGATGCTTTCTCTATACAACAAGGCTCCTCCTGTGACAGGAGGGCAGGAAAGCTGTGTGCCCAATCCTGGCATGAGTCTTGACACTCAGGATCAGCTCTCCTGTCCCAATCTTAGTGAGAGAGAGGTGACAGTTTACCTCAAAGCCCTAAAATAAAGCTTGCTTTGAATGAAACTGCTCGGGGACATGATCTTAAGAACTTCACACTTCAATCTAATGGACAACTGATCAGCACACTGGCCTTCCAAACTGGCCAGAAGAGTCTGAGAAATGGGAAGAAGAGAAAGGAGAGTGGCAGCTATGGAAAGAGGAAGGCAGGTGAGGGGCAAGGCACATGAAGCCTTTGCACATCTTTCGGAGGGCTCCAGGGACCAGGAGGACTGTCTCCCACTCAGCCCCTCATTCCATTCTGGCAAAGCTCCTGAACCCTCCACTTGCATCTTCCAGGGACAGCTGCTCACTGCCTTCAAAGCTGCCTGTATTAGTGGGGGATGGCCTGACCTTTGGAAAGTGCCAAGCTGAAATCTTACATAAGTTCCTAGAAGTTAGAGTCTTGGACCAGCCTATTGGTTATTTCACACCATTGCCCCTTGCTGTCCTCCCAGCTAGTCGTCTTCAATTCCATCAATTTCCCGAGGTCACTGTGATATCCCTGCCCTCACTCACCTCCCTTCTCACCTTTGGGCAAGTTCTCCTTTGGGGATTAAGATTAGGGAGTCGGCATCGCTTTCTCATCACCCATTATATCACTTTATCTCAGCCCTGAGATTGACAGCCAGTTCGCTTCACAGAGGGATCAGTTTCCTTCCCTGCCAACCACACTCCTCACCTCCTTGCAAGTGGGTTTTATGAATCATTTCCATTTAACAAACTTAAGGGGCAAAAATCAAGGAAATGAACACCAAGAGGGACACACCTATCAGAACCAGACAAGTACAGAGACAGAGCCCCTGGAGACAAACTTCCTGCCTGCCGAGATGGCTCCGATGGTGAGTATTCTTAGGTCTGGCACAGGGCCTTCTGCCTCTCTAGCAGGACAGGAACAGGACAGAAGCTGACAGCTCTACTCACACAGACATGGTTCCAAGCCATGAGCTGAACAGGGCCATGTGCAAGGCCTGAGCTCTCTGTTACTGGACCCCCCACAAAGGCAGTGGGACCATCCTGACTCCACAGCTTCCTGTCTCATGAGGGAAAGGATGGGGTAGAGATGCCAAAGGCTGGGGATTCTGCCTGGGCTCTTCTGGGCTCCATCTCCTATCACTGGTACTGTCTGGACCCCATAGAGATATGGCCAAAAATATGTGTGGCCTCTCCTGCCACTAGGGGTCAGGTCAGACCTATGCATTAACAATCCCAGTCCCTCAAAGGCTGGGAGAAATTAACCTGACAACTTCCAGCTTGCCGTGGTCCCAGTTCTGTCCTCTCTTGTCCTCTGGTTCTATATGATGAGGTCAGTGGAGGGCTGGGCCAGTTCGGTGCTTCTCCCCAAATATGGCACACACGTGATTTATGCCCATGTCACATGAATACAACAAGCATCGTCCCTTTTTCTTTTCATTTCATCACAGACCACAAAACCTTGTTGTCAACAGCTGGCATGGGCTGAGAATGGCATTTGAGAACAATACTCTGGAGATCAATATCTTTCAAAGATGAATGATGTACAGCTTCTTTATAGAGAAAAAATGTTCTTGCAAGATTCCCAGGAATCTGTCCCCAGACCACCTCGGGCTACAATGTGCCATTCTATATTCCCTGTCTTATTCCATAGAAACATCTTTTCATTGTGAGTCATTGCTGCTAACGTTTAGTCTTTATCACTGGAAATTTTTGTATTTTTAAGTTATCAAAAACGAATTTAAAAGGGTTGGTAGAACTGGCAGGGTCCTGAGAAGACCTCCAGGCAGCCCAATTTGAAAAGCAGGTCTAGAGGTCCATAAACCAACAGGTCTGAGTACTGTGGAGGAAAAGCCTCAATCACAGCCAAGGGAACTGAAGCAAGGTACCAGGCAGCACAAGGTGCCACAAGGTGCCAGACAGCACAACCCAGGGTCATGGTGGGTCTGCATCTTGGAGCACAGACCAGGCCAAGCCCCTCTAAGTTGATGAAGAGCAGCCTCGGGACAGGTGAAGAGATAAATGATCGAGGCAGCTTTCAGCCCTGAAAATTCTCAATTATGTTCCCATTTCTCAATTGAGTTACATCTGCCAATAAGACGAGGCTTTTGACAGGAAGGAGATTTAACATCCAAGTTTTCTTCCTAGAATCATTTTCAGGTACCACTTCATTCAAGAGGGATCCTGAGAAGGTTGAAGGGAACTTGATGAGGAATGCCAACAATTCTAACACCATAGCCCTGCCTAATACACCTATGAAAGGAAAAAAAAAAAAAAGCAAAACTAGAAACAGTTTCTAGAGTCAGAGGCTGAGGACTGGATGAAATGGCCTCCTCAGGCCACTGTCCTATACACCTGTCACTTATATTTAGCTCCTGGGCCATCTCATTCATTGGATGCCATGGGCAGTGGCCACAACCTACAAGCTTCTCCGGGTTACAAAAATACTTAAGTCATGAATAAACAATTGTTAACTATGATGTAGAAAAAGAATCTTGCAAAAATTAAAGCAACAAATGTTTCATTGAATGTGTACAAAATACAACATTATGTTCGCAAATCAGCCTCAGCTCGATTCTGTTAGTCCTACGTAAATTACATTTACTGTGTGTTTTGATCTGGAATGTCTCCCAAAGGCTCATGTGTTGAGGGCTTGGTCCCCAAAGTGGCTATGATCCAAGGTGGGGCTTTGAGGGAAGTGACCAGATCATAAGGGCTCTGATCTCATCAATGACTTAATCCACGGATGGGTTCATAATTGAAGGGATTACCGTAGGAGATGGGACTCAGTTCAAGAAAGTAGATCACTAGGGGTGTGCATGCCCTGGAAGGGTATATCTTGTCCCCTACCTCTTTATTCTCCCTCCCCCTGTCTCCTTTCTCTCCCTCTCCATCCTCACATCTTCCCACCAGTCTTCCTGGTAGCCATGAGGTGAGCAGTTTTATTCCTCCACATCCTCTCCTCCATGCCCACCTCAACACTGGCCCTGAATCAACAGAGCCAGGTGACTGTGGGCCGAAATCTCTGAAACCATGAATCAAAATAAATCTTTTCTCCTTTAAGTTGATTTTTCTCAGGTATTTTGTCACAGTGATACAAAGCTGACTAACACCCTATGTGATACAGACCATTTCGACATGCTTAATATGAAGGAGAGCAGAGCTTCTAGAAGAGTCCAGAGCCTTAAAAACATCTCTAAATGGCCCTGCTTATCTGCCTTTCCAGATCCAAGCTCGTTTTCCTGTTACCTGATCGCACATTCACCCCTCCCCTCAGCTGGGCTATCCAACCCAGCTCCCTCTTTCCTCCCCTGTTCCTTTTCTCTCTCACCCTTCTTGCATCCCGATCCCCGTAATTTCTCCTATTTTTCCCTGGCTGCCACTGTCCATCAGGACTAAAACAGATGCCCCAGGAATCTCCCATCAGCCTAGGCAAGCATCTTGGCTCCTTTCCCCACCCTTATGAGGAATCTCAGCAGCTGGTTCCAGTGAGGGCCAGCAGAGCCATGCCCTGCCCTCCGCGGTCAAGCCAGGCAGTGAGGGATTGACCCCAGGCCTGCCTGGGCCCAGGCAGCGTCGGTGGAATCTTAACAGTCAGAAACTAGGAGGGAGTATCTCTTAGCTGTTAAGAGCACAAGGCTTTGGAATCTAGGAGAACTGAATTCAACTGTCTCCAGATGACTTGGGACAAATCATTTAGCCTCTCTGAGCCTTGGTTTCCTTATATATAAAACTGTACCTGTAATTATTAAAATTGAGTCTGAATTATTATATCAAAATTATTACACCCATAATAATAGCCTTCCCTACAGGGAACAGAGGGCAGTTGGAGGTTTAAGATAGGATAATGTATATTAAGCTTTCACTTCATATAATAATAACAGCTCACACTTGTGAGCACTTACAGTGTTGTAGTCAGTGTTTCTGTGAATTCTCATACAACTCTGACAGTGACCCAATTTATCATCCCTTTATCATTGACAAGAAAACTAGAGCTCAGAGACTTTAAAGATCTCACCCAGAACCACGCAGAGCTAAGATCTGAAAGCAGGCAGGTCTAACCTTAACCTAGACAAAATTCCCCCAAAATGGTAGCTTTATGAAACACTCTCTGATGGGCAATCCAGCAGGACCTTGATCTAAGGATCTGAAAACTTGGTTTGAAACAAGGGTCTGTCTATCCCATGGCCTCTCTCAGGCTGTCCCCATGTGTGTTAGTGGAAATAATAAGAAATAACCATCCAGCTGACCTCAAAGGATTCCAGCCAGGCTCAAATCACATGTTGGTTGTGTGTGTGTGTGTGTGTGTGTGCTGTATGGACCGAGAAGGGCTCATCCAGTACATGATGAGCCTTGTCTGCCATGTGTGCCAGTTCTGTGGCTGCACAGGCTCCACTTGAATCTGCTCAGCGACTCAGAGCTTACTGCTTCCTTTAGCAGCTTGTTCTGGTTAAAGAATTCTTCCCTTTGCAGGGTCCAAAGGGATTTGTCTGTATCTCCATCCCACCAGCCCAGCTAGGTCCCCAGGGCCTTGCCAGCTGGAAAGAATCGCTGCAACACCCCACATCAGCTGCAGGAGACCACTAAGGTTTGTGTTTGTATCCTTGCTTCTGCCATCCTGCCCTGGGCACCCTGACCCCAGAAGGAGACCAATGAAAGTGGGAATGTTCTCGATTTCTGCTGGCTCTGGATCTTCTCTGACTACTCTCTACCTGTCCTGCTTATCAGACTCCTGGGCCAGGAGGAGATGATCCAGGCCAATAGAGGGTGGAGAAGATGCTGGAGACACTGTTGGCTTCCCTGACCCCTCACACTCCTGTTATTCCTTCTCTGTGTAAACATCTAGGATAACCCCCTGGTCCTGTCTCTTCTAGCTGGTCCTAAGGCTTTGGGGCTAAAATCTCCATGACTTTAGATGACTTCCTTTCTTTTCCTCACCTCTCCCTGTCATAGCAAGCCCCAGATACCCCCGTTTCCATACCTTAAAAGACTCCAGGAATCCTCCATGGCCTCCATTCTCAAACTTGTCCTCCTCTGGACCCAGTCCTAGCATGACCTGTGTGTGAGCATGGAGCTCATCGTGAAGGTTGTCCAGGAGGGCGGCCCTTGTCCGGTCCTAGGAGGGAAGAGGGTGAGGGTAGAGGAGCTGGGGCTGACAACAGAGGTGTACCCTCTCCTGTGGGCTACAGACACCCAGCCTGAGGGCTGTTACTGTGCCACTGCATCCTGGCCAGTGTGGACCTACAGCCAAGCTAGGCTCCATGCTCACAATCACTGCTGTGACAGCAAATGCTCTGGGCGCGCACCCCCCCTCCCATCTCATTGCTTTGCCTCCTTTTCCCAGGGTCATCCCACTGCTTCCCCGGCTCTATCCTAGAGACTCCCAGCCCAGACATCTCTACCCTGGTGACTCCCAAGCTCCACACCCCTGAACCCATCTGCCCAAGGCTCTTCTCCCGTCAGATGAAGTTCACACCAGGACTGTGCATGCAGCCTCCAGGGGGCGCATTAGCACAGATGGTGACAAGCTCTTTCAGCAACTCAGCCTTGACAGGCACCCCAGAGCAACAGGTCCTAACAGAACAGTCTCCCAGTCTTCCCCATGTCACCACAGAGCCCAAGCTAAGGGCCTGAGAGACCCTACCATTCCATTTCCCTCCACCTGCACTTCCGGCAAGCCTTCATGTCTTCCTGACCCTGACTCTGAACCACTTCCTCTTATGGGGTATAAGCCTCCTTCATCTCAGACTCCTGTAATTGCTTCTAACTGACCACCCTTCCTGTTCCTTGCCCCCTTCAGCCTGTCCTTCTCACCACTGGCAAAGAATTCCTCTAATAAGCAAATCAAGTGTGCCATAAGAACGTTCTAGTACCCATCGCCTCTAGCTCTCAGCCCTTCTGGATCTGACCCAACCACATCTGCAGCTGAGCCCCCACCACTCCAGCCCCGGGGGAAGCCTCTTTTAGTGCACAGCAGACCCCCCAGGGGCTGCTCTTTCTCTGAGTGGCCTTCACTCAGAAGTTCCCCATACCTGGAATAATAACCTTTCCTACTCTTGCCTCCTGGCCAAGGATTCATCAGATATTGAGATCCAGAGGCTTCAAAGCCACCTGCTCCAGGAAGTCTTCCCTGAACACACACTCCCAGTGCCCCCCAAGGCGAAAGTAGTTACTGTCCTCTAAGCAGTGCTGGCTCCTCATGGCCCAGGGCTGACACACTGTATTAAACTGTCTTCCTCCAACCTGTGAGCTCTGTGAGGCAAAAACTGTCTTGCTTATCCTTGTATTCCAAGGACCAGAACAAGGCCTGGCATATAGTAAGTACTCAATAAAAGACGGGTGAATGATTGACAGAGCTGGAGTATCCACCAGAAGAAAGTATTCCCATGATGAACCCAGGGCGGAGGGCTTAGAAGGGCAAAGATGCTCCCCAACTTGAACAGGCCCAAGATGAGAGCCCCAAGGGAAGCTGGTTAAGAGCAGGCCAGGAAGGCGACCTTTGGAAACTGTGCTCTCACCTCCAACTTGGCAAATTTGTCCGACTTGCAGCAAGCATTCTCGGCGTTCGTGAGCTTGGTGAGCAGGAACTCTCTGAACTCTGGGCCCTGGAACAGACAAGATGGTCCAGAACTCTCCTACCCTCAGCCACTGCCAGAGGGCTTCAGTTATAGTCTTAAGCAGGCAGTAAAGGGGATCTGGAAAAGTCCAAGAAGGGGCCCTTCTGACACCTGATCATTTCCAGCCCATGCCAAGCCACCTGCTAATAGGCCACTCTGGAAACCAGCTGGTCCTGAGAAAGCAGCCCTCCATGGGACACTTCCACAAGGAAAGGCAATTCTCACCCAAGGCTCCCTGGACAGAAGCATGGCATAAAAACCCCTCCCTAGACCACTAGTAGAGTGAAGAATGGGAATCAAGGAGAGGTACTGGGTCATAATATCAACCAAGATATGTTATCTGCACGTACAAATATATCACAATGAATCCCGCTCTTTTGTATAATTATAATGCACCCATAAAAAAATTAAAATTAAATCCCTCCTCTGGCAGGCAACCCCAGTGTCACACACCCTGACAAATGGCCACCCTAATGTTCCCAGCCCAAATTCTGCCCATTCCAACATTGCTAGGCAGGTCTGGAAACCTGGACTCTTAAATGTGAGAGAAGTAGAAGAGTTTCCTACCTTCTGGAAAACAGGGGGGCTGGGCAAAGGCGGGCCAAAGGCAGGCACATCTTCCCGTGCAGTGACGGAGACCTGAATGAAAGAGTCACATGTGAGCCAGGAGGGAAGAGATCAGAGCTGCCTTTCAGGGAGCCACATTTTTGGGGTGGGAGGGGGTGGGGAGGGTTACCAGGGATTGAACCCAGGGGCAGTCAACCACTGAGCCACATCCCAGCCCTTTTATTATTATTTATTTAGAGACAGGATCTGGCCAAGTTGCTTAGGACCTTGCTAAGGCTTGCTGAGGCTGGTTTTGAACTCACAATCCTACTGCCTCACCTCCAGAGCTGCTAGGATTAACAGGTGTGTCACCATGCCCAGCTGAGCCAATCCACTTACCCTCTCCCCTCTCCCCTTCCCAGAATTCAAATGAAGTACAGGCCCTGAGTCATTGCTCCTAGAAGTGGGACTGGACAGTGAGGAGCCATCCGCATCCTCTCCCCAGCCTTCCTAGGGGGCAGACACAAGTGGGGCAGAATGACTGGACAGGGCTGAGGAGCTGCAGGGACCCCGATTACAACACAGTGCGAGTGTCTGGGAGGCGTCATGACTTCGTTCACTTGTGATGTTCTTCCCATGGAGAAGATGCAGGGAGAGTTATTAACCCCGTTTTCATGATGAGGAAACAGAAAGCCAGAGACATGAGGTGAGCCCCACAAAGTCACACAGGTGATTAGTCACAGAGAGGAACAAAGGTTCCAGATCTCTCCTGACCAGGTCTCTAGTTCTTCCCCACCATACTGTCTCCCAAACCCAGCCATACATCAGACTCACTTCCAGTGTTTACAAAGTCAATGCAGATTATATGAGAAGCTCAGGATTCCTGGGAGCCTTTGTATAGCCAGTGGACCTGTGTCTGGGAGCCCTGGCCCCAGACACAGGGTCAGCCATTCTGGCTGAGGCTTGTCCTAACAGATCTCCATGGCCCAGGCTGAGAATTAAAAGTGGGGGATGTCCAGGCTTGGGCCAGCCTCAGTGATATCTAACTGCAGAGTAAGAGTATTCAGGTGCTCTGCATGGAGGGTGCCCATGCTCGGGGCAGGTCCCCTACCTCACCCCCTCTGAGTGGAGGTGCCCTGGTTTCACCTGCTCTCAGCCCCAGAGGCTGCAGGGCTCTCGGGACACTGCCTCCTCCTTTGCCTCAGCAGCCACTGACGTGAGCAGACCCTGGCCTGCCGCCAGCCCCCCTGGCCTGTGAACTAGGGCAGATGCAAAGAGCCTGCCAGACCGGGCGAGCAGGCAGCCCGGAGCAGAGCCAAGGAAAGGCCCTGCCAGGGTCCAGAGGGGAGGAAGCAGAGAGGGTAGGTCAATAGCGGCTTTCTCTCCCCAAACTCAAGTCTGTCTGCACAGCCCAAATTTCTGAGTCAGGAAATGGTCTGTGTTCACCGACATGATTTCTGGCTGAGCTCCAGCTACCAAACACAGTTCCCTACTACTACCCACCATGCACTGGCGGCCCAAGTCAAGAATTCTACCCACAGAGCCAGAATCTGGACTGGGCTACACACATCCGGGATACCTGGGACAAAGGAAAGAAGCAGGCCCAGTGGCCCCCACCCCACCTGGTCCCCCTTCCTTCTAGGGCCTGTATTAGAGTGGTCTGTGCTGACAGGGTGTTTTCAGATATGCCTTAAATCCAGATATCCTTAAATCTTCTCCTGACAGAGAAGCCCACTGCAATCGTGGTCAGAAACACAGGGAACAGGGGCAGGAGCCTGCCTGGTGACATCCATTCATCTTTCATTCTCAGCCTGTCCCCCTCCCGACCCCATTCCAATGAGACAGCCTGGTCTCTGTGGTTCCCTCCTCTTGGGGATGTTGCTTCTGAAAGCAGAAGTTGCCTGAACACAGCCCCTCCTCCCCTTCCTGTTTCTAAATCCAGAGGTCACAGCGGCAGCAGGTGCCCTGGGGAAGAGCATCTTCAAGGCTGGAAAGCGGAAGGAGCTCAGGCGTAGAGGTCAAGAGGATGCACCAGGGAGGTGCCGATCTGAGCCCTGGAAACCTGACAAAGTCCCCATGCCCAGGTGTGGCCTGCCGCCTTAGAGGGCTGTGTAAGCAACAAGAGTTGGGATGGGAAGGGGAGGGCTTCCCCAGTGGTCTGCTCCACAGAAGATTCCTGAAACCCTCGCTGGACTTCAGGTAGGGGGAGGTGACCCTAAAGAGGACGAAGGAGTCCTACTGATGGCTGAGCTGGAGTTTCCTTCTAATCTGGTGAGATGGGAACTAAATTCCTACCTAAAAATATTCCCATGTGACTTTTGCACACCTGAATTTGTGGAATCAATTTCCCACCGGCTCTGAGGGCTTCACACAGACTGAGCAGAAATTTTAGCTCCATGGCACCCTGGCTCTGTAGCCTCAGCCTTAAATGGCCTAAGCTCCGAGCCTCAATCTTCTCTCTATAACATCAGACTAATAAGAGAAAGTGCTGGAAGGAGCTCACAGGGCACCTAGTCCAACTTCCTCATTTCACACAGATAGAAACTGAGGCCCAGAGAGGGAAGGAACTGACCCAAAGTCACACAGTAATCAGAGTCAGGGCCAGAACAAGAACCCCAGTCTACTTTGATTGGGGACCTTCCTTGCACATTTCCACTTCCATCCTTCCCACCTCTTCTTTCCTGTAGTTCATCCTTCTCAGTAGAGGCCTCCTGGGCATTGCTCAGTCCCTAAGGAATTCCCCTACCTCCTTTGCAAAGCCCCTAAGCCTTCAGGGGTCAGCTAGGGTCCCATTTCACCTGGACACCCCGAGGGGTCCAACCAGGTTTTCCTCACAGCCCACATATCACCCAGGCTGCTGCTGGGGTGCAGGTAGGCAGCATGCTGGGGAGGGCCTTGGAAGGCTGGTCTCTCTCCTGCCCCCTGCCTCTCTGGCTCCATTCTCACCAGCAAATCCAGCAGGCAGATGAAATACAAGGTGATGATTCCTTGTCCCAAGGGCTTGGCCCTGCTCCTCTGCAACTCTGCACTTTTCTGAAGACAGTGCTTTGCCCTGGATCCCAAACCGTGACTTGAAAAACTGGGTAAGGACTCCCAGTACCGAAGCTAGAGGAGGGTGGTGGCTTCTGGATCTCTGGTTTTTCTCTGTATGGATGCACCCCTACACTAAGCTCTTGGGAAAGTGGAGCAGCCAGGAACTAGGGGTGTAGCTCAGTGGCAGAGCACTTGCCTAGCATGTGTGAGGCACTGGGTTCAATCCTCAGCACTGCATAAAAATAAAAGTATTGTGTCCATCTGTAACTTTAAAAAAAAATTTTTTTTAAGAAAGTAGAGAAGCCAGTTATCTGAGCTCCATCTCCTATAAGGAATAAAAAGCAAATATTAAACGTCCACAAGAAGCCATCAGACAAGCCACATCCAGATGACCTTCTTTCAAGGCTTTCTTTCTCCACAGCTCTTCCACCTTGGTGGGCTGTTAAAAGAACCAGTTGGTTATTTGAGCTGTCCAGTGTCTGAACTACACTCACTGGCTCCTCCATCCCTTGTCTAGGGTCAGCCAGGACCTGCAGGGCAATTCTGCATGTCACTTCCTTGTTCCCCACCCCAGCATGATGCCAATGGCACATGATGGCACCCGGTGGGGCACTGAATGAGTAAATTCACTTTCCCTGACAAATTCATCAAGCAGCTGTGACAAGAATGCCCATTTCAGTCAAAGCAGGTGACCCCACAGCTTTCTAGGAAATGGCCACACCACGGCTGCTCCAACCTTGCAGCTAAGATGGCTCAACGCCCGAGAAACACAAACATGCCCACGTAAGGAAATCAGCTCATCACAACGGGAGGGATTTGTTTTATTTTTTTTTTTAGCTTTTTCTTTTCTTTCTTTTTTTTTTGTCTCACATTTGATTTTAAATTTCAATGGGAATTTTGCACTCAATACATCTATGTTTGCACTGATGTAAGAGTAACGTAACCGTACCTACCAAAATTAATATTTATAAAGATGGCCATGAGGTGCTATGGCAGAGAACCCAAGGAATCAGCACTGACCTAAGTTATTATCTAGGAAATATTTCCAGGCTCATCATCTCCCATTAGCAATGACAAGCTCATTTCTCCTCTTGCAGAGAATGGTGGTTCCCAACATTTTTTGGAGCAGGGAGCCCTATGAGAATTTGATCTGGGGCCTCTCTTCCCAGAAAATGCAGAAAAGTGCACCAATAGCAGTTGGTGCCAAGGCACTGAGAAGGGAAGGCGAGTAGCCGGGAGTGGGGAGGACATGTCATGCCAACACAACCTGACACCTTAAAAACCCTGCCTCAGCCTCTCTCCCTCAGGTTCCATACCCCCGGAACCACCATGACAGGGTGAAAATGCTGTCCGGGAGGTCAGGATTGTTACTCATGGACAGGAGGAAGGCAGCCATCAGGAGTAGGCAGATGAGGGATGTCAGAACAATGGGTTGCTCTGTGTCTGCCCCATTCCCACTAGTGAAGACCATGAGTCCATCTTCCCTGCCACTCACTGGCCAGGACACTTAACAGGGGTCTTGCATCCCTGCCTCCCTAAAGTCTTCAAGTTGAGATCACCCATGGGTCTAGAATGGCCAGACCAGAGGGCCAGGGTCTATCACGCCCATGCCCCCTTTCTCTTTCTACCCTCTGTTTGCTACTATCTTTCCCTTTTCCTGACGTCCTCTCCACTCTCACCTTCTCCCCTCACGTTCTGCCATATTCTAGCACAGGACATCACTGCATTCTAAATATGACATTCTGGGCTTCTGGACCCTCAAGTTGGAAGCTGTAGAGCCTGCAGCCAGCAAAACAGGTGGAATAACCTGGAAGGTGCTTGCCACCAAGAGTCTAGCTTCAGACCCCAGCAACCTGGCAACTCACAGAACTCCAACACTGTTGACAACTCGTGACTTTTGATGTCGAGAGTCCACAAAATGCGGGGAGGTATCTGGGCAGTGACTGTCTCCAGCCAGGCCTACCCTTACCTTGTAGGATGGGGTCTCTGTGCCTGGGCTCTCGACCTGCACAACAATGTAGGCGTGTAAGAAATTGGAAGCAATCATATCTGGGACGAATGGTGTATTTTCTTCTTGGAAGATGATGGCCACAATGTCGTTCCCAATGTGTCTCTTTCTCTGGAGCTAAACAAAAAGTATTCCATCATTACAAGCCAGTAAGGAACATCCTGAAAACAGAAAAATCTGTATAAGAAATTCCCCCTAAGTTTTCCCTTGGTATGTAAACCCTACAGCTCTGAGACCTAGCTCTCCAGGGAGCTTCTTTCAATCCTTAGAAGCCACCGGGAAGAAAAGAACGGGGAAGATGCCCAAGTTGTTAGGCAGCAGCCAGTAAGCACGTTTCTGAGCTTGACGGTGTGCCAAGCCCTAACTCAAGACCCAGGGAAAATATTTAAAAGGTGAGGTGGGAGCCCGGTGCAGTAGAACATGCCTACAATCCAGTTATTCAGGAGGCCGAGGCAGTAGGATCACAAATTTGAGGCCATCTTTGGAGACCTACCCCTACCCCACAAAAAAGGGAGGGGGTCAGAAGGTGGAGGCTGGTGATGTAGCTCAGAGGTAGAGCAACCTGGGTTCAGTACCACACACAAAAGAAGAAAAATGGTGAGGCTGGGTCTGGCCCCAGGAGAGCTGTAATTGATCTGGGCAGAACCACCTGAGAACTCTAACAAAGCTGCCAGTCAGCAAGTGCTAAGTTGGCTGCTGCACATGAAGTGCCTCACAGCTCTGGGGAGAGAGAGGCGGGATAATCTAAGGGCCTGGTAGCATCCCCAGAAGGCTTCCTGGAAGAGGAGATGGTGTGGGGAGTCTGGATAGAAATGTGGATGGGAGGTGGGGCCGGATGAGTGGGTGGTGCATTCTACCAGAAGAGAGCTGGCCATGCTTAAAGGGGCTCTGGTCACCTGGCTGTAAGAGGGGAGTAGAGGACAGAAACCCAAACCTGTCTTGGTTTCCTAAATGGTGCCAGGTGCTTTTAAAGGTCACTAAGCACCTACTGCATGTGATTTTGGTCACTAAGCACCTACTGTGGGTCAAGAACTGTGTTGGGCTATTCACATGCATGATTTCAAATGCTAAAGTCCTCCTGTACACCTACACATTTGTTCCTTTATTAGGCACCTACTATATGCAAGCCCTATGCTCATCCCTTTTATATGGAGTTTCTCATTTACTGAGCATCTGCCATATCCTGGGCACTGTGCTGGGCACTTTTATGCAAATTATCTCATTCCACACATACCCTCCCATTTCTTAGGGAGAGAAAACTAATATTTATTCAGTCCCTGCCAAGAGTCAAGCTCCATGCCAAGGTACACTTCCCAATTAACATATGTCAGACTGAAGTGGCCTGCGAGAAAAAGTCCCAGGCTGGGGCAGCAGGTGAGGGGAACCAGGAGGGAGCAGAGACTGAAGGTGACACCGAGAGAAAGCCCACTGTGGATACAAAAGGAATCCTGCTCCCATTTGCTTCTGGAACATTCAGTCGTTATTTGAGAGCCAAATCATAATTTCATTTGCCAATTTCCTTTTTCTCCTAAGAAGCCAGCACTATGTTTACAATTTTACCTCTCTGCTCCCTCTCAGTTCCCTGCTCAGAAACAAATAGGTCTCAGAGTTTGGGCAAAGACCCATCTGCCCTTCTTGTTTTCCCAGAGACGGAAAAGGGACCCAAAAGGGCTGGGGCGTTGCGACTTCCAAGATTAGCTGCTTTTCAGAGGGAAGGCTCTCCCCAGGGATGTGTCAAAACAGCAAACATGAATGAGCACCGGCTGAATTCCTGCCCACAGTCAGGTGGGCAGAGCGAGGAGGGACGTGGGGAGGTCCTCATGCAGTAAGAGCTCCAGGGCAGCAGGGAGGCAAAAAGACTAGTGGCCTGGGCAAGAAACTGCTGTTATACAGAGAGCAGCCACATGCCAAGCAGCCAATGCAGCAGCCTTATATTCAGTAACTATTACGTGACCCCGTAACAGCTCTCTGACATAGAGCTGCTGTCCCCAGTCTACAGAGAAGAAAAGTGAGGCAAAAGGTAACCAGTTGCCCAGAGTCATACACCTCTAAGTGGCTCAGCTGGTTTCAAGACTCCACCTGCAGATGGGGTCATGCACTCTTTATCTCCACCCTAGATGATCAGGGTCACAGGCTCTGCTCCCAGCTCAGCCCCTCCCTGACTGCGAAACCTGGAGGTGTTTTTTTTTTTGTTTGTTTGTTTTTTCTGTTAGTACTGGGAACAGAACCCTGGACCTCTTCATAAGTCCCCACTCTAGAACTGGGCTACACCCTCAGCCCTCAAGAAAGTCTCTTAAGGGCCTGCCCTTGGACTGCAGTTTCCCCAGCTGTCAAAGAGGGAATCACCAGGAGCATTGGCCTGCCTCCTGCACTGGATTGCTGAGGTGCCACCCTGGTGAGACAACCCAAGAGAACAGGCTGTGACTCGGGATGCTGAACAGATTGTCCTCTTAGTTACACAAATGAAAGCCCCCTGACCATCCCCCGGGCAGGTCAGCCCAGGAGTTGGGCCTTCGAGGGGCATACCCAAGCGCCCAGAGTCCTCCAAAACCAGGCTACCTGTTGGGCATCACCCTCGGTGAATGGCAGCTTTGTGGAGACGTGAAACATGATCTCCCGGTCCCGGAAGGTTGTGTACACTGACTCCACCCCTGTCTGTCCGTGGGTCACATCCAGGCCTCCTCGGAAACTGTCAGTAAAACAGGGCAGGAGCAGGAGAGAAAGAGTGAGGGGAAGCAGGCAACGTGGTGCAAACTCCCCTAAGGTTATGAGGCAGCTGGAGGGCAGATGGAAGAGTTGAGGGAGGAGGTGAGGGCAAAGGAGAGAACAAGGTGGGGAGAGCAGGGAAGGGTGTTCTTCTGAGCAGACTAGCCTGGAGTTCTAACCAGACATCTGTTGTCTAAATAAAAAGGCAGAACCTCCAACCCAAGCCTTGTTGTGTCCCCCAAGCACCACTGGTCATGTGGGGAAGGGAGGCCTGTTGTCCAAGATCCCAGACAAATGTCCATCCCAGCTGCCAGTGGCCCCCAAGGCTGGGCACGGCCTTTTGCTCTCTGCAAGGCTATATCCAAATCATCTTCCCAGAGCCAGGGCAACCAGCCACCCTGCTGGATGATGGTGAGCCCCACAATGGCATCCGGAGTCAGCCAGGAGAGATGACAGATGCTTGGCTTGTACCTAGCTAGTCCCTGATATGGAGGCCCAGCTGCAGCAGTACCCAGCTTAGGATATCCAGGAAGGTCCCTTCTCAGGCTGCATATTCTTAGGCAGGAAAAAAAAAAAAAGCATGGAGGAACTAGGTGGGCTTCCAAGATCTGTCCCTTCTGCCTCTAAAGAATAATAGCTGCTAGCCCTGGACCACATTCTTCAGCAAGGGGAAGAAAATGCAGATACAAGTTCCTTAAAGAAAATGAAATAAGATGGTCCCTGGACATCAATATCCCAGTACTTACTACCATGCAGAAAATGTGCTCAGCCCAGTGTGGCAGAAAGGATGCTGGATGGGCTGGTGGACATTTCAGGTTCTAAATCTGCTTCTGGCCCTAAGTCAGTTTATGACCTTGGGCATATCACTTAATCTTTCCAGGTCTCAGTTTCCTTTTTCTATAACATGAAGGGATAGTATTACCTATCTCTAGATCTTTCTGGGATTAGTATAATGTATTTCATCCATTCTATGACCCATGACTTTAGCATTGTAACATCACCAAAATCAGGATACCTCTTATGGTGATGCTATCTCAAAGTCCACAAAAGTCGGCAAAATCAGAACAGTAACAATAATGATGACTGGTGTGTGGCACTAGCCTAACTGTTCCAAATGCATTCACTATTTTAATCCCCCAACATCCTTGTGGGGTCAGTATTTTATTTCCCTTCTTACAGATGAGGTAACTGAAGCTTGCCAAGGTAAAGTCACTTGCCCAAAGTCTTAGAGCTAGTAGGCGACAGAACTGGGATTTTAATGCAGGTGTGATTGACCCTAGACAGCAGTGGTGACTTCGAAGAAGAAAAAATATGAAGAAAAGGGAGAAAGGGAAAAGAGGAAGAAAGCAATTGTTGAACACCTACTGCATGTCAGGCAATTGGGCTAGGTGTTTTTACATATGATGTTTATAAGCGCCTCCTATTTTCACTCCTGATGCAGGAGAGGGGTGTGAATTCTAGGACCCTCAGCCATACACCAAGTTCGTGGTTGGCCAGGTCTGAAATATTCCCAAATGTTGCTTTTGCCAAGGAAAACCAAGAGCCAGAACCTTCCAAGCAATAGCACCAATATTTAATCTTTCTGTCCACTTAAAGACCCATATACTGATGCATAGACTCCTCCTGGGATGGGGAGATTATATTTACATGGATTCTTAATTACCCACTCTTTATGTATTATCTGAAAGGGGTCATTTCCTTCCAAATTGCACAGGGAACTCTTGCCTGGCGGGTGAGAGGTAGGAAAGGTGGATTCACTTCATTCACAGTCTGAGTCAAATGCAATTAGGAAGGAAAATCTCAGAGGAAGCATTCCCAGCACACATCCTAAAGCCAAATGGCAATGCCTTTCAGATAACCTGCCATGTTAATTATCCCTTGGACCACTGATTCTTTAGGAATGCAGATAAGTGAGGGTTCATCAGATGCTGAAAACAGTCTCATCTTCCTTGGGTGTGGTTTTAACTCTCACATGTGCTCCTTGAGGACTGAGCTGTCTGCCCCTGGCTCTTCTGCTAGGGCCTCACCAATGGGACTACAGCAATCCCTTGGCTAAAACTCACCCTTTAAAGTCCTGCAGCGTGATTGTGTCCCCTAGCAGATCCAAGAACTCCTTGAAAGCAGGACTCTCTTCGTTGTTCCCAAATAGTTCCTCCTCCAGGGTCTTAAAGAGAAACAGGAACAGGAGTTTAAAAAACACCATCTTGGTGCCAAAAGAAGGGCTGCCACATACCCGGTCCTTTTATTTCTTCTTCCCTCTCTCCCAATACATTTCACCACAGCCATCCTCCACTGAAGGATGGGCTAATGGAGAATCCATCCACTCCACAGAGCTGGAACCTCGCAGCTAGTTCATGAGACCTTTCTATTTGAGCAAAAGTTAGTACAAAAGGCAAAAGTGACGCAAAGAGTTCTTAGATTGATACCAAAAACATGATCCATTCATAAAAATTTGGTAATTGGACTCCCAACAAAGAGCTAGTATCAAAAACATAGAAAAAAAAACAATCATAACACTACAGTACTCAAAACCACAATGAGATACCACTTCACACCCACTAGGATGGCTATGATTAAAAAGGAAAGACAACAAGTGTTGGTAAGGATGTAGAGAAATCAGAACCCACATAAATAGACAATGGGAAGAGAAAATGGTGCAACTACTTTGGAAAACCGTCTGGCAGTTCCTCAAAAGGCTAAACATAGAGGTACTATATGACCACAATTCCACTCCTAGGTGAGTAACCAAGAGAAATGAAAACATATGGCCACACAAAAATTTGTGTGTCAATGTTAATAGTAGTGGTATGTAAAATGTCCCCCAAATGGAAATAACCCAAATGTCTATCAATAAATGGATTTAAAAATGTGATTATTTTCATACCATGGAATATCCATAAAAAAGAAACTCTTAATTGCCAAGATCATTGTAATTTCATGTGTAGCTAATAAAAAAAAAGATTATCTAAGACCATAAAAAAAGAATAAAAGATGTTTTTCTTTAAAAAAAAAATAAGAAATTCTTGCAAAAGGTACAGACTCTTACAAAAGGTACTTTCTATTCACAGGGATAGAAAGTAGATTAGTGGCTGCCAGGAGCTAAAGGTAACAAGGTGGGAGAGTCACTTTGGAGAGTGATGAAAATATCCCGGAATTAGAGTGCCATACCACTGTGTGATTACACTATAAATCACTTGATGAAAATACAACTCACACGCTTCTGTGAATTACACGGCATGAGAATTACACCTTAATAAAGCTATTATAAAGAAAATTTAAAACTCAACAGTATGAGAAAATGGTCAAAAGAACAGACATTTCACCTAAGAGGATGCACAGATGGCAAACAAGCACATGAAAAGATGTTCAACATAGTTAGCCTTTAGAGAAATGCAAATTAAAACTATAATGAGATATCACAACACACCTATCAGAATGGCTCAAATTAATAAAAAATAGTGAAAACACCAAATCTGGCAAAGATATAGAGAAACTGGATCACTCATACATTTTTTTTTGGTGGGAACAGCCACTCAAGAAGAGCTTGGCAGTTTCCTACAAACTAAACATATAATTACCATATACAACCAGCAATTGTGCTCCTAGGCATTTATTCCAGAGAAATGAAAACTTGCATTCAAATAAAACCAAAAGCTGTATACAAATGTTCATAGTAGCTTTATTCATCATAGCCAACACCTGGCAACAACCCAGATGTCCTTCAATGAATGAATGGTTAAACAAACCCTAATACAGCCAGACATGGAAAACTACTCAGCAATAAGAAAGGACAAACTAGTGACACACTCAAGAACTTGGACAAATGCTACTGAGCAGAGAAAAGCAACCCCAAAAGGCTATGTACTGTATGACTCTATTTGTGTAATTTTTTGGAATACAATTTTTGAAGCTGGAGAACAGATCAATGCTCTGCAGATGGCTAGGGGTTAGGGACTGGAGTGAGGGAGGAGAAGAGAGGTGAGAGGGAGGTGAGCATGGTGATAAAGGAAAACAGGAGGGAGCCCTGTGGTGACAAAATTCTTGTTTCTTGACTGTGGAACCTACAGGTGGATAAAATGACACAGAACAAAACAGATCAAATACTCACCCGCACGCGCATGCACACACACAAATGAGGACCTGTAAGCTGGGGATATCTGAATACTATCTGTGGATATCTGATAATATCTGAGAATTGTGTCAATGTCACCATGGTTGTGATCTTGTGCTGTAGTTGTGTAAGACATGACCGTGGGGAAAACTGGGTAAAAGATACATGAGCTCTTTCTTCCAACTACATGTGAATCCACAAATTTCTAAAATTAAGAAGTGTAACAATTGCTGGGTACAGTGGTGCATGCCTGTAATCCCAGTGGCTCGGGAGGCTGAGACGGGAGGATCTAGAGTTCAAAGCTAGTCTCAGCAATGGTGAGGCACTAAGCAACTCAGTGAGACCCTGTCTCTAATAAAATACAAAACTGAGCTGGGGATGTGGTTCAGTGGTTGAGTGCCACTGAGTTCAATCCCCGGTACCCTCCCCCAAAAAAAGAAGTTTAACAATTAAAGAATACATTATTAAAAAGGCAAAGCTGAAAATAGTAGCAAGCTTTGCAAATGGTGTTAGGCTTTAATAACTGACTAACCCTATCTGATGAGCAACTTGTTACTACTGTTTTCTGCCTACAGCAGCAGGACCTGCAAACAGCTGAAGGCTCTGCAAACAGCCATGGACTCCAATGAATGGCTTCATATAAAAAAAAAAAAAAATTCAGTGTGTCCAATCACTTCAAGGACAGTCTCCCATAGGCAATTCTTTAATATCTCCTTAATGTCCCCTATTTTGGGGGGCAGTGCTTGAGATTGAACCCAGGTCCTTAATCATGCTAAACACGTGCTGTACCACTGAGCTACACTCCCAGCCCCACTTAGGCCTGCTTTGTAACTAATAAAAAGCAAACCTCAGATTCCAAGTCTTCAACAGGCAACAGAATCTAGTAGATTTCAATAACTCTACTTGTTTGTTAATAGTATTTCCTCTTAGAATTACTTTGATTTCATGGCAAGTGATACTTGAGGAGGGTGATCTAGAATTTCCTTTTAAAAAAATAAATGCACTAAGGGCTGGGAGTACAGCTCAGTGGTAAAGCATTTGCCTAGCTTGACAATGTCCGGAGTTCAATCCTTGGCACCACCAAAAACAAATAAAAACACTTTAGTTTTTAAAAAAAAACTTTTTTTAAGAAAACAATTTAGTGGTTAATAGTAGGAGTGTGTTAAAAATTTTAACAGTGGCCACTGGTGAAATAAGTGCCATAATAAAGATCCTAAATGTGGTCTGTGAAAATCAGAAGTTTTGGAAACACAGCTTTCTAGCAGGTGTCAGCAAACTATGGCCTATGGACCAAGCCTGGCCCACTTCTTTTTTTTAATCAATAAAATTTTATTGGAACATGGCCAGGCCAACTCCTTTACATATTGTCTTTGGCTGATTTTGCACAATAAAAGCAGTAGGGTGGTAGTAACAGAGACTCCAAGGCCCATAAAGTTTAAAAAATCTATTATCTGAATCTTTAATGAAAAGTTTTTTGTTCACCAGTCTTTAGCATGGCATGAAGACATTGCAATTCCAGCCAAGCATCCTATTTGTCCTGGGTCATGGGGTCTGAGTGTGAGAGCTGCTGCTTCAGGGAAATCTACAACTCCTACCAAGAAAACAACTCATTATAGGTTCTGGGGCATGCACCTCTTGTCCAGGATTCACACCTTGTCTGGTATTATTAGCTTTGTTATTATTTTTATACTGGCCTTGAGCTTGACCATGTACTCAAGGAGGGGGTCTTAGTCATCGCCATGTCTCCCACAGTGCTTAGCACAGTACATGACACACAGCAGAGTTGGGTGAAGCTTATTTTTATCCAAAGACCAGCACAGGGTTTTATGCAACAAATGTTCATATTAAATGTCCCCCAGCTGTAGGTTTGCAAAACAACAAACTGCCTAGATTTAAAAAAAAAAAAAGAATTTTATCTTCCTGGCTTTTTCCCTCGCAGCAGCAGCAGCAGCAGGTACACAAATAATACAGAGGCTCCTTCTCAGAGGTGGATGGTTAATGTTCAGTAATTATAACTTTGCTGGAACATTGGGTTATAATCACCTTAAGATCTGTTTTGGTAAATTTCACAAGCAAAGAACTTTAATTAGGGGGGTTACATTAGCCAAGTTGTAAGAAATAAAAATGTAATATGTGAAAATAATGAGAGTGGCTACCTGAATAATCTCCCTTAAATTATAAGATTCATCAGTGTTGGTCTTTCAGATCCTAACTCTTCACATAATTATAGTGTTTTGAAGCAAACACATGTCTCTTGTGTCTAATATCTTTAGATGAGGAAATCAGCCATCATCTGGCCAAGAAAGATTGATATGCAAAAAAAAAAAACAGATAAAATCAGAGGACACTATAGAGCTGCCATTAGCAGCATCAAAATTTTCATTTGTTCATTAATTCATAGAACAACTGAGTGTATTTATATAAAGTCACCATCTAGTCTCTTGGATGATACAAAGATAAGATGGGTGCAGAAGCTTCTTCTCATAGAACCTAGGTGAGGAGACCAGCATGTCCATCTGACTGTCTTGCCAGGATGTTAGTAAATGTTCATGGTAAAAAACAGGAAATATGGGAAGTTCGTGGTCAAATAAGCATGGGAAGTAATGGGCTCAAGAAAATTAAAAAAAGAATTTTTTACCTTGGGGGTTCTGAGAGCCTTTAAAATGTTCCTACATCCAGATACTCCTTGCTCCAAGACATTTGCTCACAGAATACTTAACCAGTGTCTCATGGAATCACCCTCTGAGAAACATTATTTAACTCCAAAGCTATAAGTGAGTGCTACAAAAGACAGAGGAGGGTAGCAGTGGTGTGCCGGCTTTCCAAAGGAAGTAATTAAAATTCTGGGGCTTGCTAATTTCCATGGTGTAAATACTTCCATGGCTGATTTCAAGCTACCAACATGATGTCATTGAACACAGAGTTGGGAAGAGATGCCCATAATTGATTCCAGCACAAAGCTGAAGTTTATCGAGAAAAAGCTAATTCCCAGCTGGGAGAATAGTGAGCAAGAAGAGATAAGATTATGCTAATCTGTTCACTCTACCTAGTTTGGTTTTTCTGGTGACTGACAGCCCATAGATAAACACAAACTGAGATCAACACAAAGTCAGCCAGGAAGAATCAGACTTCACTGTGTGAAAACCTACACCATGACTTAAAAGACTTGCAGGCCTTTTTGTAAGAAGTAGCATTACTTGAAGATTCTGATACCCTTAGTCCAATTCACACTTTAAATATGATAGTTGTATTCAGAATGCTTTAAGAACTTAGTTCAGGGATCCTGCATTTAGATTAGGAGATGAACAGAGAAACCCATAGGAGATAATGACCAGTATGGATTCATGGTGCTTACCTGTCTGGCTTTTTGATAAATGACTCCAAATTTGAATGTGTTGTTGACATCATGTTCATCATAAGACACAATCATTTGGGAGGCCTGGAAAAGGTAGGAAGGAAAAAATCAACTTTATTCATGTGGAAGTAAGTGAAGATGCAAATGGAAGGGGAAGCACTCATTTTGGTAGAGAATGTGCCCCCTGCTAAAAAAAAGCAGATGATCAGGATGCAACTCCAAAGGTCTCAGCTAGCTCCCAACACCTGAGTTTCCCCAGTAGTAACCAATCCTCTGTATCATCCATTCCATTCTATCCAGGTGTGCCAGCCATGGCTTGGGCAATTAAGTAGCCAGTGGGACTCAGGATAAAATATCCCAATATTTTATCTATGGTGTTAAAAGTGAAGCCAGAACCCCCAAAACTCTTCAGGAAGGATGGCTCTAGCTCTAATTCCACCTCTTCTCAGCAGCATAATTTTGAGCAAGTCCCTGCTTCTGTCCAAGCTTCAATCCTTTTCTTCATAAAATGAGCAGTATAGAGGAACACGCTCTAATAAAAAACAAACAGAAGAGAAAAAGGAAATCCTGACCATAAGTTCTATTAGATTTTCTATTTTTCCTCCTAGAGTTGATGTCTGGGTCAGAAATACTCAACTCTAGTTCTGAATCTCCTGCTTTTATCCATGTAGCTTTGAGAGTGTCACTTCACTTCTCTGGACTTCAGTTTCTCTTCCGATAAAGGGAGATGTGTAGTTATGAAGATTCAAAGAGACCAGGCACATAAAGTGCTGAGCACAGAGCAGCTACAACATCATCACCATCAACAACATCATCATCATCATCATCATCAGAATTGCCATCATCTGTGCAACACTCCTGAAAGAGTTGGACCAACTTGTCAGGAAAGAGAAGTATATTTGGGCGCTACTGGGATATCTTCTGCAAAAAGAAAGGATTCATCCATTCATCTTTGTGCTAACGGAAGAACAAAGCAGGCATAACGTGTTGGCTGGAATATATAGCCAGTGTTAGGTGGCCACTCACTGTGTATCTCTGTGAGGTTCTCAGCTGCCCGAGGAAATAGACACTTCTAAGCTCCCCGAGTGAGAGCCCTGTTGGCCTGACCCTTGTGGGAGCCCACCATTCCTGCCTGGGATGAGTCAAAGGAGAACAGCTGCCCTCTCAGAGAGAGGCACTAGGCCATGGAGACCTTCCAATAAACGTTCTAAACTGCAAATTTTAAACACAAACATCTCAGCCAGACTAACATCCCAGTTGAACTTCAGCAATCCTTCCAATACAAAAAAAAAAAAGAAAATACAGCTGCTTTTCAATCATTACTAGGGCTGGAGGCTTTCCAAGTTATAAAGAGAACTGTGTAAATGTACATCACTGGGCTCTCACAGCGGATATGATCTGACAACAAAAATTACCCAACCAGTAGTTCAGTTAGGCCTTTATGATGGGGTTTTAATGTGTGGTTAAACCTCACTAATTCAGCTTTAATCATAAAGGGAGGTCAGTCTGAATGACAGAAAATGTTCAGTGGAGCACAGCATATTACTGGTAAGTTTCTACAGACTGTAAAAAGAAGCATCCAGAAGAAGGGCTTGGTGAGACAGAGGACTCTGCCACTAGCTCAGCCACTGCAGATGAATAAATAAATAGATGCTTCTAAGAGTGTCCAGTTGTGAACATTTAGAAGGCATTTATTCCAGGAGGTTGACAAGTTAAAAAATGCCTTAAATTCTCTGGTCCTACCAGGATGGGGTCCTCTCTTCTCCACACACACACTCCCCACTGTCCCCAGACATTTCATTTCATGGCTCCTGGTTTTCAGAGTTGGGACTCAGGGACTGGACAGAGCCAGCCCCAGCAAGCCTCAGCTGTCACCACGTTGGCCACAGCGGAAGCTCAGATCACAGCTCCACTTCCACTCTCTCCCTCAAGGCCCTACTGGCTCATGAAGAAGGCAGTTGGTGCCCGGGGTCTTTTCCTGTGGCCAATTTTAAGCAATTCTCTGTTCGTGGCTGATTTAAGTCCTGTCATGCCATAATCGTTCTTGAGTGAGTTTGTTGTTCGTTTTGTTATTATTGCTCCTCTCTCGACTCACACCACCATATCAAAACTGGGGTCAAGATCAGGCCAATCCTAAGAAACTGATAACAGAGAACCAGCTGGCTTATTAACTAAGGCCAAGAGGGGCTTGTAAGACCTCAGAGCTCACAGAGTAACGTGGGCGATGGGGAGTCTGGCCTTTTATTTCTTAGTGAGATTCTGCCCTTTGTATCCCCCACCCCTCCATGATGGCAATTGGGATCTGTACCAGCCCCCCCAAGTCTCACCCCGGCACTGACCTCAGGAAGGTACAACTGGAGTGCCGTGGAAAACCTATTAAACTGCTACCTCTGCCACCTTCTTAGCTGGAGACCTATTCAGCTGGGCTGGAGACCCAGGCATGCCTAAGGATGTGTTCCCAGGGGAACCAGTGTGTGAAGGAGTAAGCAGGGAGAGAGGGAGTCGTGGAGGTTTATCATGGAGACCCCACCATGATGCAGAGAACTCCTCAGGGTCATAGGTGTGCAAATCCATGCCGAGCCACACAGCCCTGGATAACAGGCAAGGGGGAGAATAGAGTTCCTCACCTTGGGGTACAGGACAGGGTTGAATTTCAGTCCCACTGCATCGTCACAGAAAGCCTGAGCAGGGAAAGAAACACAGTGGTCAGAAACCAAGCCCACAAAGCACACCCAGCTCCTGCACCCACTGAGAGAAGGCAGCGTGGCAAGAAAGGACCACAAGGTTGGGAACATGTGTGCCCTGACCTTTCCAGGGCTTCCGGACAAATTGATGAGAGAAACCAGGTAAAGCCTGAGACTCATCCCCACTCTGACCTAAAGATAAGACAAAAAAAACCACCTGCCCCCCAACTCCCACCAAAGGTATTCAGCCTCATTCTGCCATATCCCTGCTCCCAGACTGAGGGCCCAATACAACCCCACCCTCTCACCCCTCTTTGCTGACTCAGTTCCCAAATTCCCTATATTCCAAAGTGACATGGCACCTCTGCCAGCTGGCTCCTTACACAAGGTGGTCCTGGGTCTGAATCACCTTTCAGCAGGCCCAGGCCTCTCCTCTGTGTGAAGGCTCCCCGACCTCCCCTCCACACCCCTCTTCTGAAGTCCCGTAGCTCTTGCCATAGCCAGCCCTGTCTTCCCCTATATTTTGTCTCCTGAACTGGCTGTGAACTGTCTAGAGCAGAGACGAAGGATTACACTCTCCCCTGAGCAGCCTCAGCATTGATGGAAGCAGCTACCAACAGGCCCCCAGTCCCATCCATGCAATCAAGGACCTAGAGAAAAGAGGCCTCCTCCTCCCCAAGGGCAGACCCTCCATTCCCCAGAGGCCAGCTCTGGATGGAAAGAAGTCACCTTCTCTCAAGGGTTGGTTTTTACCTTTGCAATCTGAGGAACACTGGGCAATTTGCTCAGTCCAGCCAAGGGGATCCGCTCATGCACTGTCTTCAGTTTGGACCTGCACATGAGGACAGGGTGAGGCAAGGGCACCCACAAGGAATCGAGTCAACAAGGTAGGTGGCTGAGGTCACACCAGACAGGGCACTTGTTTTAGGTCTCCCTGGGGGCAGGTGTGCCTCTTTCCCCCCAACCCATGTGTGGGACAGCACGCACAAATGGTGGGAAAATGGAACCTACTGAGGTACCCCAGGGGAAGTGGACACTTCAAAGAACATGCCTGATAAAGCTGTCTGCCACGAAAATATGGGAAATAACTATATTTCCACCCTCTAGGTCACCATTATTAATTTTTGTTTGTTTCTTTCTTTGTGAGTTTTTTTGTGTTCTCCCAAAGAACTGGACCCGGCTTCTGTGTATATTTGGATTTTGACATGCAAATGAACCTGTAGTTAAAGATAATCTAATTTTTGAAAATCTGGATTTACTCAAAATATAAATGGAATGGAATCTGCTTTATAAGGGATTCACCATAAGACTCTAAATTTAGCCTGTTCCCCTGATTCATTTAGCACATTATGAAAGTGTTGGGATTTTTCTGAATGCTGTTCTGCATCTGCTGAGATAATCATATGGCTTTGTATCTGTTAACCTGGTAGATTACATTTCTGTGAAGCCATCTTTTCATCCCATGGGTAAAACTCCAGTTGCTTATGATGTATTATTTTTAATATCCTACTGAATTTCATTGGTTAATAGTTTATTTAGTTGTTCACATCGATGTTCAAAAGCACTGCCTTTTATTTCTTATATTCTCCTTGCCAGGTTTTAATATCAAGGTGTTATTTCCAGCCACATAAAGTTGTGAGATAGCTTCTTGCCCTCTGAAATATCTTGAATAATATAGGGATTTTACATTCCTTAAAGCCTTGCTAAATTTCATCTGTGCCATGGCTGAGCCTACTGTTTTTATAATCAGATACTTCATAGTTCTTTAGTGGTGAGTATTTAGATTTTCTACTCCTTCTTGAATCAACTTGGGTAACTTAAGTTTTTCTATAAAAGTATCCAACAAACACATTGATACACTTGTATCAGATACTGTTAGTAACTGCTCCATTGCTGTAATATTACTTGTTTGTGTCTTTTCTCTGTTTTCTTTGATCAGTCTTAGCAGGAGGTTTACCTATTTCATTAGACTTTTCAAAGAGACAGCTCCTGGCTTTCATGATCATCTCTGTTCTTTTTCATTTCTTTCTACTTCACCAGTTTGTTCTTTCCTTTCTTCTATTTCCTTCAGGGTTTTTCCTACTATTCTTGTTCTAACTTCCTGGCCTGCACGCTTACCCATGTAATCTTCCTTCTTGTTTATTATAAGTGCATTTAGAACTATACATCTCTCTCTAAGTACCACTTTAACTACATCCCACACATTTTGATAGGTAGTATTTTTACTGTCATTTAGTTCTAAATATTTTGTCAGTTCTTTTGTGATTTTCTCTTTAACCAAGGAGGCATTTTTAAAAGGGTTTTTTATATATTTTTTTCCTTTTCTTTCTTATTTATTTGTTTTTAATGATGGGGATTGAACACAGAGTCTTACACATGCTAGGTAAGTGCTCTACCACTGAGCCACATCCCCAGCTAAAAGGATTAAAAAAAAAACTTTCCAAATAAGGAAGATTTATCCTCCACTATCTTAATTGTTGGTTAATAAATTCTCCTTATTTTCAGGGAACATAATCTCTATGATATTCATTATTTAAAATTTGCTGACTTAGTACATGAAATATTTTATTTCTTTTTCTTTTTACCAGACTGAAAAGGATGTTATTTTTTTTCTTTTGTTGAGAAAAGGAATAGACATTACCAGATCAAGTTTGTTCATTGAATTGTTTAAATCTTCTTTATCTTCATAATTTTTTTATCTACTTGATCCACTGTCTTCTGAGAGATGTTATCAAAATTTCCCACTATGAGGATTTGTCTACCCCTCCCTATATTTCTGTAAGTTTTTACTTTTTAAATTCAAGCCTCTGTTATCAAGGACACACCCATGACTGTTGGGCCTGGGAGACCTGTCCTCTCCATCCTCATGTGGATGGAGGCCTCAGAGGGGACCCTGCAGAGGCGATCTTTCCTTGCCCAGGTTCTGAACAAATTCAGAAACAAAATTATACCAAAGAGTAAGGCAGTGAAGAATCAAACAGCTCTTTGTTACTGATAAAGATCAAGTGAGGACACAGCTTAGTATAAAGGAAGATGAAATGAGGCTTTCTAAAATCCAGAATTAGCCAAACATCTCCATCCAGTCACAGGTAGTGCTGGACAGGGGTTAAGCCCCCCCCCCCCGGGGGACTGCTCAGGAGAGAACTCCAAGAGGAAAGGGTAGAAAAAATGTTCTTGCTCCTAAATGAACCTGTCAGAGGGCAGAGAGAACCAGGGGTGTTATACAAAAGTGGTCCCTCCACAAAGTAGGAAACACAAGGAGTCGGGAAAAAGTATTCCCAGGTTACAAAGGAGTACTTCCTTTATCCTTAATGCTTTTTACCTGAAATTCTATTTTGTCTGATTTTTTTTAAAAAATATTTTTTTAGGTGTTGGTGGACGTTTATTTTATTCATTTATTTATATGTGGTGCTGAGAATCGAACCCAGGGCCTCATACATGCTAGGCAAGCATTGTACCACTGAGCCCACAACTCCAGCCCCTATTTTGTATGATTAAAATATTGTTATGCCAGCTTTCTTGGTTAGTATTTTCCCAGTGTGTCTTTTTCCATTTCTTTCTTTTAAATCTTTCCATGTCACTCTTCCTTAAGTATGTCTCTTATAATCATAATATACTTCCATTTTTAAATTCAATTTAATAGTCTGATATCTTAGTATGTTAATCTAATCTATTTTCACTTACTGTAACTACTAATATATTAGAAATTATTTCTACTCTATGTCATTTTATATCTTCTATTCCCTGTGGGGTTTTTTCCTTTCCTGTCTTCAATTGAATAAAGTTATAATTATTTTTTTGTTATTCTCTTTTTATATGTCTGCTAGTTTTGGAGATACAGATTGTATTTCTATGTATTCCAACATATATACTTATATTTTTTCCAACAAACCCTAAAATTGTTATGTTTTTCCTATAGAGGAAAGCAAATTAAAAAAAATAAAGTATGCTTTAAACACTGAATTATTCCTCTCCCATTGTCCTTGTTACTTTTGTTTATAAATTTTGTTCAAGTCTCCTTTTAAAGATGCCAAAAAATCACTTCTTTTTCCAGTCAGTAATTAAATTTATCAACATGGTTTACCTATATCTTGTGACTTTTTAACTGCATCTTTTCTTCTGAGTTCTCTTTCTTCTAGCTGAAGTACATCCTTTAGTAATTCTTTCAGGGAGACTCTGTGAGTGGTACACTCCCATTTGTTTATATTTGGAAACAATTTTATCTTGTCTTTGCTGTTTTCTGGGCATAGAACATTGGGTTAAGAGTGTTTCTTCTTTAATTTCTTTCCTTTTTTCTCACTTGCTTGCTTTCTACACTTTAAAGATACTGTCCCCATCGTCTTTTGACAACTATTATAGCTTAGGAAAAATCTATTTTCGGCCTAGTTGTTCCTACCTCAAAGACGGTCTGGCTTTATCCTCAGGTAGTCTTAAAATTTCTTTAATCTTTGATTTCCGATGTTTCACATCAACATGTCTAAAAGTATTGTTTTGTTTTAAAATTGCTCTCAACCCGTAGGTTATGTACTTCCTTCAATTCTGAAATGTTCTCAGATATTCCCTCTGGGTATTTGTTCACAAACCTCTGGAGTATTTCCTTCTGGAACTCCTTTGAAACAAATTCTGAGGCCTCTCAGTCTATTTTCCACATTGTATCTTCTTTTTTGTATACTTTATTTCTTTATCTGTGCTGTGTTCTGGATGAATTCCTTGGGACTCTCTTCTGATTCACAAATTCACTCTTTGAGCAAACTAGATTTTATCCTATATGTTAAGCTTATTTCAACAACTATTTTTTTTATTCCTCAAAATTCTAATCATTTTCTTTACATGCCCACGTGTTCTTAATTCATTTCCTTGTTTTACAATCTATCCATTTTATAGATGCTATTCATTCTTTGTCTTTTTAAGATGTTAAATATATTTATTTTAAGTCATTTTGAAAGACTACCATTATTTGCATTTCATCAGCAGTAAATCCATCTCCTATTTGTTGACATTTCGACTGTCTTTCTTAATGTCAGTTTTCCCCAGGTGCCTGGAATTTTCCACCCACTTTTCTCTATTCTCAGTTCAGTCCCCATCCTGGCTGTTAGTCTGTACCACTCTGGGGGCACTATTCACGTTATACAATCTGGTGGCCTGGATCATCACCTAGCTCACATCACCTGGCTCACTGCAGCTGCCTCCTGATTAACCTTCCTTCTCTTGGCCGTGACATTCCTCCAAGTCATTGCCCTTACTCTAGCCAGAATGACCTTTCTACAGATCTTTTTGTAACATTCTCCCTTCTGTAGCTCTCCTCTTGCTCCTACGATAAAAATCTAAGCTCCTAAAGATGATCTGTACATGAACTAGCTTTCCCACATCTCTCCAACAGTCTTTCAACCCCACACACACATAGACACACTTTCCACAATCAAACCATCCTGAACTTCTTTCAGTTCTCTGTCAGCATCTATCTTTTGCACCACCCCCACTAACCTACAACGATTCAGGTCCATAAGAAGAAGATGAGTAAAGCTAAGGGTATAGCTTAGTGGTAGAGCCCTTACCTACCATGCACAAGGCCCTGAGTTCAATACTTGGCATTTTGGGAAGGAAGGAAGGAAGGAAGGAAGGAAGGAAGGGAGGAAGGAAGGGAGGGAGGGAGGAGAGCAAGAAAAAAAGAATATATAAAATGTACTGAATGCTTTCTATGGTCAAATACACAAGTTAAGAGCTTATTCCTCATAGGATTCCCTACCGCTAAACAAAGTCTGGCACATAGTAAGCCTTGGTTAAACAAACACTGAATAAATCATGTAGTTCTTCATATTAACCATCCTTGCATTGCTATAATAATTATTTCTTGACTATAGTAAACTTTTATTAATATACTGCTTGAATTTGAGTTTTTCAGACTAAACATTCTTCTATATTAATAAGGAATACTGGGCCATGTTTTTTCTTTTTTAACTTACATTTCATTTGCCTGTCTTATTTTCCACGAGGATCCTCTAAACATTATCAAATGAATTGGGAAGCTTTCCATATTTTTCTATTCTTTTGAACAGTTTAAATAACACAAATCTGTTCCTTTAAAGTTTAAAATACTTACCCACAAAACCATTCAGACCTAGGAGCATTTGGAGGGATAATTCTTTTGAGAATGTTTCTAATTTATTGGTGCATTTGGGTTTTTTTACCTCATCTTGAGTTACATTTGGTGATGTATACTTCCTTGAAAGGCATCTGTTTCAACTAACATTTCCAATTTCATGGCGTAAATTGCACACAGCATCCATTAATAATTATTTAGCCTTCACTTCTGTGCTTATGTGTCTTTTTATGCCTAATTTTGTGTGTTTTTATTTTTCTCTTTTTATCTACATTTAACTAGCTAGTTGCCTCTCTTGTTTTGTTTCCCCTAAAAGAAGCCCAGATTTATCAAGTCTTGTACTCTTTTTATTTCTAACTTTATTTATTTCTGCTTTAATCTTTTTTGTTTCTCTCACTTTCCTTAGATAATCATATCAATGATGAAAAGAACAGTAGCCACCATTATTACATTATTGAGTAGCTACAATATGATGAGCTCTGACTCACCAGGGCACATAAACACTCAAGAATTTTAACATAGATACTATCGCTGCCATTTCACAGATGAGGAAACTGAGGCAGAGAGAGGTTACTAATAATAACAACACATGTAAACATCACTCTTTCTTATTTAATAGGAGACTGTTTAAGGCAATAAACTTTCTTCTAAGTGTAGCTATGAAGACAGCCCAAATTCTTTATGTGGAATATTGTAAATGTCATTTCTCTATAAATATTCTTTAAATGTATCCTTGACTTTTTCTTTGTCCTATAAGTTACTTAGGAAAGTATTGAGACTGTTTACTTCTAAGTGGCAAAAAAAAGTGGATTTTCCAAAACATTTTTTTGTTATTAATTTCTAGTTTTATTGTCAATGTATAAGCGAATAGATCCAGAAGAGAATTTGCTTTTTTGAAATGTATTTAGATTTATTTTGTGGTTCCAAAGTTCCTAAATCTACCTGCAAAAACCACCTACAAGATTTTTAAAAGCAGAAATTTCAAATCACAATCCAGTTTTTAAAAAGAACAAAGCTTATGAACAGACAGTTCACAGGAAATAAACACAAGTGATCCTTAAGTGTATGAAAAGATGTAAACGATGGGTAGATCCCACTTGGCTACTCTCATGCACACACAGAGGTTGTCAGAAGGCTATTCTCAGATTTTAGGCTAGAGTGCTGGTTGTGATAAATTTGGGACATCAGTTAAATAATCCAGAACTCTATGGGGAATGAGGAAGAAGTGGGGACAGTAGTTACTGCCAGCAAGGGAATTTCATCTCTGGATAAGTACTTCTTTGTGTCTGGTAAAGCTGCTAAGCCATCGAGCCAATTTTTCATGCCTGGTTTTCAATTTGGCCTGGCAATCACTCCAAGTACATGATGTGATTGTCCAACTTCCTAGCTGATACATGGCTTCTCTCTGTGACCCTGCCCACTGGCTTTCTTTTGGGGAGAGCCACATTTGAGCTTATTCTTGAGCTCTCCCTGGTATTGATTTCAAATACTGCTGGCCCAAAGTAACAAAAGTGGTTCAATGCAGAAAGACCCCTCACCATTCAGGGCTCCCTCTCACTCCTAAAGAGAATAGTTTTCTTCCAGAATCTTCGGTTGCATATAGTCCCACACTATATTGCTTTCTTAGGAAGGGGATCTAGGGTTCAACTCCATATCACCTACATTTGGGTCCTAACTATCCTATAAATGACAATTTTAAAATATCAAAGCGGGCGTTGTGTCTGGCACCTTCTCCAACTTTCAGTCCTGATACAATGTTTCAGATAGGATGTAGCATTAGGAAAGAGGGGCTGAGATCCCACTGTCATCTGACTCAGAAGTCCCAAACCATCTTGGTCTAATTTTTATTAAGAAAGAAAATACTTTTCTTCAGAGGGGTTCCTCTAGCTAGAAATTCTATTTACAGCTAGGGACCCAGGTATTACCCACTCTGAGGTTTTTCTGTCGTTATTTAATTGACTTTCCATGTTCTGCAAATACGATGTCCACCCAGGTGTCCACTTTTGTAAATGTAACTGCTTCCTTTCTACATCAGAAGCAAATCAAGGTTGGATGGGGGCTAATCATTTATTCAAACCATACGGTCTCCTACCTCTCCCAAAGCAGAGTTAAATGTCCTTCTTCTTTCCCATGTTTATCTCAAAATTTAGACAGAATTTAAAAAAAAAAACTGTTATTGCTCCCTTCCAAATACCTTTAAGAACTTACAATTAGATTCAATAAACACGATTTGAGAGCTTGACATGTTCATAGAAGTCTACTAAGCTCCAGCCCCTTGGCCTTCCTGGCTTCTGTACCCTCCAGCCAGGGACAGATAAATAAGGCACACACTCCTCTGGGCTCTCATAACATTCTGTGCATCTGACTAAAATAATACTCGTGACACATCTTAAAATTCTATTTTTCTCACTTGCTAGACCATAAATCTTTAGGGAACAGGGACCAAATCTCAGTTATCTTTGTACCCCCTCCCAGAACTTCTCCTACCTCCTGGTATAAGAAAGGTTTTACAAAACACGTTACTTGAACCAAACAGAAGCCAGTTCCAGTTCCTGCCCTTTCGGGAAGTCACAATCCAGGGAGAGGTGCCCTGGCTTCACCTATAAATCAGTGTTCCTGTTGTAAAGATCACTCCAGCTCCATGAACCCAGAACACACAACAGAGGCTTTGGGATCCACCTTCCCTGACTCAGTGGTCACCAGAGGCAGCATTTTGGACAACCCTTTCCCAGGACATAAAGCTGCGTCTCAGCTTGATAAAACACACCAAGCGATCCCTACTCTTGGCTTCCATTCCTTCTCAGGGCTAGGTCCCTTATAAGAAAGAGAGGCATGTTGGGGTCTGGTCTTGGTGACCTTGAGAATCAGTCAGCTGGGGCCACCTGGTCCTACTGCCTGGCAACTTCAAATACAGCCCCAAGATGCCAGCAGTTCTTTTCTTCCAGCACACCCAGATCAGACCTGGTCAGACTGGTATTTCTGCCCCACCAACCAACCACACACACACACACACACACACACACACACACACACACATACACACGGCAGACCCACCCAGAAGAGGTGTGGCAACCAATACAACAGGCCCACCCACCTGAGAATGATCCTGAGGTACTCAATCCCTTCCACTTCCTCACACTTGATGGACAGAATCAAGTTCCCGAGGCTGCTGCCGGTACAGTAGAAGTTCAGATGATCCTAGAAACAGAAGTCGGGTGTGAGTGGAGGGGAGGTGATCCTGGCGGCATGTCACCCCAAACCACCTTCTTCACCAGGAAGGAGAAGCCCCACAGAAATGAGGAAGCGAAGGATGTCACTGCTACGGGACATGCCAAGCACCGTGCTATGGGTTTCATACCCACTATCTTCTTTAAATCCTGACCACAGCTTTAGGCAAGAGATCATCCCCATTCCACAGACACAGACACCAACATTCAGACTCAGATCTGTCTCAACTTGCTGAAGCTCTTCACCCCCAGATGTTCCCTGGGGAGCAGCCCTCACCACCCTAGACTCTCTGTGGGAGAAAGCTAGGAGGCACTCAACACCTCCACCCAAGGGGAAGTGAGAGGTCCTCTGAATCCGGGAGCCCGGGCTACAAACATCGCTTCCTGGAGCCCACGCCAGGTCCACCAGGTCAGGGTGAGGTGTGGAATCTACATTTTAACCTCCTGGGGTTTGGAGGCCTGGGTACAGCTTCCTCCAAGTGAGTCTCTGCAAAGCTATCTCCGGCTTGAGATATCCAGAATCTGCCCTGGAGACTTGGGGAATCTAGCAAACTTGAAGGGCAGAATATATTTAAAGATATATAACTTTGTCACTTTTAAGTAGTCAGAGGGTCACAGCAAGCACACTGTGCTCAGGGGAATGGCACACAGGACATGAGACATGTGCACTAAGAAAATGGTAATGTAGACTTCCAAGATGTGAGGATGTGTTTTTTTTCTGAAGAAGTCAAAACTCTGCCCACTCTCCTGCACCCCCAAACACTACCCATCTCATCAACTCCTGGAACCCTTCCTGGGGGTGACCCCCAAAGGACCCATCATGGGAATTCTGCACTGCTCCCCTGCCCCTGCCCCAGAATACTGCCAGTCAAACTTCTCCTATTTATACAAATGCAGACAGGCAGGAAGGGGACAGATCTGGGAAGGAGAAATGGCAGGGAGAACAGAGGGGGCACTGGAGAGAGGACCCCCTACCTACCCAGGGCACTTCACCCTCTGGCAGCTCTTTTCTCCCAGGGCCCCTGAACCTCACCTTTCCTAGGAAATGCCTGCGGTAGGCCCTGGCTTCGCCCTTGCACTCGAGCTTGTAGCCGAATGTGTTGGGGCTGAGGTTGTCCTCTTCCTCCTCCTCACAGATGCTGCTGCCCAGTGACGTTGGTGTGCCCACATTCTCCGGGTCCTCGATCCAATAGCCCCCAAACTGGGGCAGGATGATCAGAGGGTATGGGCCGCCCTTCTCCACAACCTGGAGGCAGAGGGAGGATCTTGTCCTGCAAGCCTACTCTGGGACTGCAGGAGGAGGTGCCTGTGGTGTCCCCACCCACCTCTGAGCTGCTCCAGGGAAGGGAGTCTGGTATTTTTAAGGCCAAAGTCAGTAACATGAATCCCTCCTCTGTGACCCACTGGCATCTCCAGCTTTACCAGCTGACCTTGTGCCTGTGGGTTGCAAGGCCTGGATGGGAACCCTCAATTAAAACATGGAAAAGCCAAGGTCACAGAGGTAAATATGGAAAGAGGCCTCAGGCCCTCAGATCCCAGGCCTGAGGTTCTTTCCCATGTGGGGCTGGGAAGGGCCATGATCTCCCCAGGGACAGGACCCAGATGGGGCTGCAGTGCAGACAGGGGGGCTCCTACCTCATCAATGCTGGGATATGGGATATAGTCATCCTGCAAGACAAATCAGAGAACAGAACTGTTAGTCTTCGCAGTGGTGATAAAGTCAGATCATTGTTTCCATGTCCCTCTCCTGGATCATGGGAGGGGATGCACTGGGAGGCTTAGCAGGTTGCACCAGGGCTTTGGGAGAAACACATGAGATGGAAGAACAGCCTAGAGGCAGCTGCGGGATCTGATATCTTACATAAGTTGTGCTCATCTTCAAATTGACCACACCTGAACACAAACTCAGCTGAGCCAAAGACTCAGCAGGTGCTGACCCTGTCACCTCTAGTGAGACCAGCTTCTCAGCCTTGGGTGCCAACACAGGGCGATGGCCCCTAGTCTCACCCAGCAGCCTTCTCCAAGTAACAGAGCTGAACTCTAAGGTACCCTCAGGCATTGGGGAAAAAAAAACCAAAGCTAAGAGCTGGTGGTCCTCTGAAACCGAGTCTGACAGTCCCAAACACTGGACAGGTGCAGAGACAGGTGCCAAATAGGCGGGGGGCGGTGGGGGGACGGCCAGGCCCAGCCACCAATCCTGGGTCTCCTTCAAGGCTCCCATCCCCACCCCAGCCTGCTCTGAAGTTACTTTAAAGGCATGGAGCCAGGTCCCCCTCTGCTGCCTACCAGGCACAATGTAACCAGGCTTCAGTCACTTCGGTGGCTCTTGGTGGAAACCAAAGGGAGACAGGAGGGAGACAGAAGAGCCCTGTCTCCTCGCCCTCGTCCCACTCATGCCTCCTCACTGGACCCACCCAATGAGCACCTCAGCCACCCAGCCCACCTTGTTCTTCTGGGGTCCTGGCTTCTGCTCTTCAAGCTTGATCCCCTGTGGAAAAAAAGGAAAAGAGGACCCATGGAAGCAAAGGTCACGAAAGAGTGACCTAAGAGAGGAGTCTCTGGGCAACTGTCCTTGCTGGGGGTTAATGATGGTGACAGCAGCAACAGCTGGAAGCTCTCACTGCCTTGTCACTGTCAGTCCTCACAGCAGCCCCAGACGAGACAGCTAGTAGCTCAGTTAACAGCCCAGACTGGAGCCAGATGCCCTGGGTTCAAATCCCTGCACTGCTAGTTACTAGCCTAATGACCATGACCATGTCACAGAAACTGTCCTGTGACTGAAATGCGAATGATGACAGCACCTACCATTGTGTTGAAGATCAAAGGTTAATAATGGGTGAAGCCCTTGGAATACTGACTGGTATCTAGTTATCAGTCCCATAGGCTGGCAATACCACTGTTATCATCCTAGAGCTGAAATATATTCCCTAGGGCCACAAGGTCAGCAGGTGAGGGGCTAAGATGG